TCCCTAAACACATTATCAGCATAATGCACAGGATCAGTCTGCGACACAGTTCCAGCAGGATAAGCTTCGCTTATTGGATAAACGTCTATGACGTCAATACCAGCACGACACATGGCTGAAAGGGCATAGGCATTGAACAACTTTACGCGTGAAAAAGTCAGGAACCGACGGACATCTTTATGTGGATTTGGAAATCTTTCCCTGTGAATGGCAGTTGACGTTTTCCATATAAACCTCCCCTTAAAAGAGTTGCTGATATATTTGGCAGGTTTTTTTTCGCCGTCATCCTTCAGCAGGCGTATTAACTGTTCGATAACTCGCTGGTAATTAGTAAAATTCACCGCAGCAGCAAAATGGATTCCCATGTTCATCATCAATACACTCTTTTCAGTTATTTCCGGGTTAAACAAAGTCTGCAAAACAAACAAGTTTATAGGTCGTTGAATGAGGTGATGTAAAGCGGTAAAGAGAGGTATAATGAGAGGAATATAGGACTACACCAACTACAAAATTATTAGGTCCTCCATTTGCATCGTGTTCTGGCTATTCCCTGCAACAGGTACGGCCAGGGTTTCTCATTGCCGGTCAATTTAGATCTTTAAGATTTTTAGGGGGGAAAGCCCAGCCGCAAACAGGGGCAAACAATGACAGTTTCCTCCTAAATGCATTAAAACACTTTTTAGACTATCCGGAGTACTTTCTGATCTTTAAGAATGCATTATAAGCGGTGCTATAAAATTTGTAGCCGTTCGGTTGTCCTAAGAGAGGCAACTCAAGTCTTTTCGAAATTACAAGGGCCTCAGTATTATTTGCCGGAAAATTTTAGATGCAATTTTAATTTTTTACGAAAGTGAGAATTTTTCTGATTCCTCTGTCCATCGAATTTTCGAATCCGAAGATTTAAGGTTTTCTTTTTCTTCGAAAAGTAGGCTAACTTGGGGACTGGAATGCAAAAAATTAAACTTTAGAAAATCGTAGGGAATTTATAAGATATGCTACGAAAATTGTACATGACTGGAATAGAAAGGTCATCTAGAAGTTTTAGCCTTCCTCACCCTATAGAAAATTCTAGGCAATTTTGCTTCTCCGAACAGATATTTTACAGAAAACAGCCGTTGAGTGCCCCTGCGCCATTGCGTTCCTCCGGGAGAGCTTGCTCTTCGGCTACAATTTGTATGATGGAATGATGGAACAAGGTTCCGCAACCAAACTGACCGTAGTCCCCATTTATGAGTATTAAAATTTTCAATCTTATACTTCTTAAATTTAAAGCTTACCTTTTTGATGTCATTTATAACTCGTTCTTGATCGTAATCAGCGTCATCAGGGAGAGGTTCCCTTGGTGATTTGACGCCATCGCCCCAGTATTTTGCCATGTCGTACACCCAGTGGTAAATAGGTCGACAGGCGATAAATGTCTTCTTGCATAGATTACGGTAAGGACCAGATGTAAGGGAGCTGAGAAACATATTAGAAACGGAATCTCCAAAACTGAAGAAGATACCTTCTTGATTTCTATTATCCTTTAAAATGATGTCTGTAAACAACAACAAGATGTGTTAATATCATGGCGATAACAATAAACATTACAACTACTGTGTTTACTTGATACAGCCTAATTGCAAAGAATACATACTCTAAACAAAAAAAATCAATGGCCTAATTTACCATTTGGGTAGAATCCCTTTGAGACGAAAAGATTGACCTATAACCATTAACTAAACTGGACGCAGCCAACCAGATTCGTTAATGACAACCAGCCTTTGATAAAAAATTAAATTTCAACAAGAGAGGATAAAGGCAGGAGCCCGGCTCCTGATAAAGTCAATTATCCTCTTATAATTTTTATTAGCTTCTCAAAACGGTGCTGTTATAAGGGAGGGCGAGGACGGGGAGTGGGTCAGACGCACACGAATGGGTCACAATTCTTTTCCAAAACTATTACTGCGATTTAATTTGATCTATACTTTCTCTTTTTGTTTTAAAATCAGTTAAGTATGGCTTTTAGCCTTGGCTAAATATTTATGTTATCATGGCGATAACAAGGCTACTGTGTTTACTTGATACAGCCTAATTTCGTTGTTCATGAATTTAAAATATCGTCATGCAAACGAGACACTTACCTTTAATGTAAGGCTTCCATTGCCCATTGGCCCATCTACCAAATCCATCCCAGATCATTGCTCTACATGACGCGTCACATGTGTAGTTAACTTTCACCAAGGCGTCAACTATTTATTCAGATTCAAAAGAAGAAGAAGATTCAAGAGAATTAATGTCGCTCAGAAGGAATCGGATCGTTTCCGTATACTAATAGCGTCCGGTTAATCGAGTCCTGTATCCAGCTTCAGCAACTTCATGTAAAAAAATTAGCAAGCAGGAATATTTCTATTGAAACTATATAAAGTGTTTGGTTTGAAGGGGTTGAAGTCCATTTTATGAGTATAAAAGCAGTCTTCCCGCAGACCTCAATTTTCTATCACTGATGTGATAAAGACACGAGGGAACGTTTATCAGGCGTACGTGTCTTGCTCCTCCATTTGCGTCTGTCATGAGGTATGTTTTATTCGCTACATTCAACTCTCTATTAACCGACATCCTTTGTGAGACAGACACCTAGAGCTGGTGATCCTTGCCTTTCATTACTCCTTATAGCTGACTCTCTAGAATTAAGACAAACAATTCTCTAGACTCTCTCTAAGACAAAAGTGTCTTAGAGAATAACCGGCACTATATGTGTCCGTCTTAGAGACAGTCAATCAAAGAGAGTAAAGAAAGGAAGGATCCAACTCTAGGTGTCCGTTTTAGCGAGGTTTCTGTCTTATGAAGGTGTCCGTTGAAAAAAGGTTGACTGTACAAAGGGTAAGGAGTGAATCAAACTTTTGGGTAGCCAGTAGTCTCCCACGCAGGAAGGCGCGAAGAAGCCGCAAGAAAGTCTGTGTAGGAGGCTGGATAGCCAGCTCCCATTGACCTACAATAATCGGCATCGGCTTATCCATGCAACAGGTCTTGGTCAGGCGCAATATATATACGTTCACATGACAAACTCTCTGTGATTGTACAGATATGCAAAATGAATACTTTTCCCTCTACTATAAATGACCGCGCCAACAATATTCATGCAGCTGTTCC